TATAAAGTGATAGGACTGACCAACTTCAAAGACCTGTACCTCGGAAACTGTTCTTAGAAAAACTTTGGGCTCATGGCTCGTGACCGCTTTTGTTATAACTGCTGAGATCCACGACATACTGAATTTGTTGAATAAGCTGAAGCCTCATAAGGTTTCTGTGGGATGTCTTCATCAACATCCCACTTGTACCTTCTTCTATTCGATATTGTCTGTCAGAGACGTCCATACGACCTTTGCTCTTTGTTAAACCCAGTTGTACCTTTTCAATTATGGAAAAGTCAAACACCAGTCAGACTCACCAAAGACAAACCGACTTAACTTTTTGAAATAGTCTTTCCTGATTTGTGACCATGTAAAGTTCATATTGAAATAAAAAGAAATTATCTGCGATCATAAATCATTTCAAGCATATCGACTTATGAAGTACTAGCTTTTTGCCCACGCTTTTACACGTGGAACGTGTAGGTGATGCAACTACTATAGTAACCAAATTTTCCAAGCATGCAAGTGGGCTGACAATTTACTGCTGCTATCCAGAATACAAAAAGTGATCATAGGATTACTCAAGAACGTGATTGGTGTAAGAGCCATATCGTTAGTCGTTCATACAATTGTAGGAAGCCTTGATTTTCATAGTTTTCTACTGTCCCGCGTCTGCGCTCTATTTTGAGGTTATGTCACAAATACCTATCTCCAAATTGTGTTCGCTTTGATTTATATCATCTGTTTTATCAGCCTGAAATTTTCTGCAATTCAAAAAGAAAATAACTTCACAGTAGGAGAGCGTTGACGCTGACACGCCTTTCTGAAGGGTAGGGAAAGCTATGAAAATCAAAAAGACTATAAAGGTGCCCTACAATTGTATGACCGACTGACGATATGGTCCTTAGTAACAATTCCAACCGTACGAAGTAGCGGGTAATAGCTAGTGCTAAATAAAAAGTCTGTGTCGCTTGTCGGTCACAGGTTGAGAAGGGTGATGGTTGGCCGGCACGGATATTACGTCTCTTGAAAAGTAACACTATGTTGTTTTTTTTTGACATTGTATTGGTTTTTTTTGAGAAATTATGTAGGTTTTTCTACAAGATGCTAACTTAGCACTAGCTGATGGTCACGTTGTGAACTCGTTTTGTAGTTGTAAGTGTTGCCTAAACATCATGATACTACAGATGTCAATATCTGGCTCTGATGCGATGTAAAATCTGCTACAGAGATGGCATTACTGGAGGTCTAAGCTGTAAGTTGTATACTATGGCTAGAAGGAAACGGCAATGCATAGGTGTATAGTGAGGATTTGTGTACTTATATGTGTTGATGATAATTCCATTGGATTCTTGTCTCAAATACACTTACTTGAGATTCAAAGCTAGAAATTAGTTGCGCATCCACTTTTTCTTATCCAGTCTGGAAATTACATATGCAAATTTGCTGAATTTTAAAAATGAGAAATAATTATATTCACTGTACACTGTCGAATTACAAGTCATATACATGCTAACAGTAAATACACACAACGCGGACACGGTGGTGATTTTCCGTAATTCTCCTCAAAGGTTTTGAAAACAAAAAATACCTAAAAAATCGTAATTTATAACTTTGAACACCACCTCCCCTGTCTTCAGAAATGGCAACATATAAATAACCCGTCGGGCACAGCTAATAGATATACTTCATTGGCAGCAATACACATAATCATTCAGATGCGATCTTGCTATTCAACCAACTTTCTTCACAGAGATGAAAGCTACAGACTCGGCTTCACAAAACATATGCAATCTACAATGCTTGTAGTTGAGTCATTCCTCCATGGATGGACGCTCACAATGATCCTAGTGAGCAAACGTGGAATCACTGTTTGCACCCTAAAAACTACCTAGTCTGCAAGATGACATTTTACAGGTTTTTTACGTTTTAATAGCTTTTTTATATAATACCCTTGCGGCTGTTGATTGTAAAATTGGCAATGACTTTGTGATTAAGGCCATGCCCATAATCTTACTCGGATGTCAGTTAGTTAGTTCACATATTTTTACGACTCTCCATATTGTGATTCAGACGTGATGCTGACGGACTGGATTTTTTACATAATACCCGTGCGGCTGTTGATTATAAAATTGGCAATGACTTTGTGGTTAAGGCCATGCCCATAATCTTACTCGGATGTCAGTTAGTTAGCTCACATATTTTTACGACTCTCCATATTGTGATTCAGACGTGATGCTGACGGACTGGATAGACAACCACATTTATATATAGAGAAGACCGCACCACACAGCATTAATAACACCAAGCCAATCCAAATTAAGACCATCACGCTACGAAAACAAATGTCGAAACGCAATAACTGCAGTATACAAATGCGTCAGTTATATATTTACTCATTTAGGTCGGACCAACGACTAAGGGCTTCCTCGCCAGGCACCTCATCTCAAATTCCATTAAGCAGTTTAAGCTGTATCTCGTGAAATAGGTATTTCGAAATTATCTTCCTGGATAAAAGGTAGCCTAAGTGCTATTCCAGTCTATAATCTATCTCTGAACTAAATTTCAACGAGATTCGTAGGGATATTACGTAAACAACCTAAAGACATAAAAAACCGACGAAATCTCATCTTACAGACTAGGTGGTTTTAGTCTGCAAATAGTTGCAAGTGTACAACAAATTGTGCTGAGTTAACATCTTGTCGAAAAACCAACGTTATGTTACAAAAAACCTACGAAATGTGAAGAAAGCCGACTATATACATATATGGCTTTTCAAGATACATAATATCCGTTCCGTCCAGACATTTTGGCGTGATTGAGTAACACTTATCCATACTTGCTCATTTATAATATCAAGTAGAGATAATAATAATAATAATAATAATAATAATAATAATAATAATAATAATAATAATAATAATAATAATAGGCTCTATGTAAAAAGAAGGAATGGAGGTCGTGGACTAATTGAGATTGAATCTGCGTACAACATTGCCATCGTCAATCTCAGCAAATACATTTCAAACAACACCGACCGTATGATAGAATTGGTGAAACAACATGAAGCAAATAAGGCAAAATACTCTTTGCTAAAAATATCTGAAGGTGTCCGTGCGAAGTATCTCCCTGAGGAATAAGCTCCAACCGAAGTCGAAACAACAGGCGAACAACTTGCTCTCAGAAACAACATTGAAGAGCACAGAATCGAATCAATTAAGCGCAAACCACTTTATGGTCAATTCTTCCACAGTCTGGAAAAGCCTTACATAGATAGACAGAACACGCTATCTTGGCTGCACAGTTCAGATCTGAAGGGAGAAACCGAAAGTTTGCTCATAGCAGCCCAGGATCAAGCCCTAAACACAAGATACCACCAGCGCAAGATTCTGGGCAAACCAGTCGATAGCAGATCTAGAAGGTGCAACACAAGAGAGGAAATAATTCAGCACGTCCTTACAGGGTGCACAGTTGTGGCAGCAACTGAATATCTACATCGGCATAATAGGGTTGCTACATATATTCATTGGAAAGTTTGTAAAGAACTCCAGATTGATGTGCCTCGAACATGGTATAGTCATAACCCGCCCCCGGTAATCAACACACGCGAATGCACAGTACTAGGGGACAATTCAATTACAAGGGATCGCACCATATCAGCTAATCGTCCCGATATCGTCATTCATAGTAGGTCAGATAAAACTTGCATACTTGTGGACGTAGCTATCCCAGACGATCAGAACATTACTATCAAGGAGGCAGAAAAGATCTCAAAATATAAAGATTTACAGATAGAAGTACAGCGCATGTGGAAAGTAAAAGCTAAAGAAATACCAGTTATAATTGGCTCATTGGGAGCAATTAAAAAGGGAATGCATACGTACTTACATCAAATACCAGGAAAGCCAGATATATATGAACTGCAAAAGATTGCACTGCTAGGATCAGCCCACATTCTGAGAAGAGTATTAACATACGAGCCAGCTAAACCTCAGAACCCATGTTGGGTTCCGGTGGCTGGTACTGTCCGATCAAAGGAGGTCAAGAGTATGTAATTGAAATAATAATAATAATAATAATAGCTTTATTGTCCAACAGTTTCCCATTTATAGGACAATTTATAAACATAATACAAAAGCAAAAAAAAAGCGAAAAGAAAACAACAAATGCAACACAGGTATAAATTTGTAACATGAGCTATTGGTCTGAATAAGCCTTAGCTGCCTTTAGCAGATAATTAACATTTGTCGTAAATATATCACAGTAACATCCAATTCTGTTTAAGTTAGAGCACATTACATATAACGGTGACTTGAGAAGAATGTTTGTCCTAGCTCTAGGAAGCCCGAATATTTTATGATTGCGAGATGCAAACGTTAGAGTACGAAACTTGATCTGTTCCAGGATCAAGGGGCAATCAATTAAATTGTTGATCATTTTGTAGCCAAATATTATTGAGGCACAGTACCTACGTTTTTTCAAAGTCAACATGTCTAAGCGACTACATAGTTCCTCATTACTTGTACCTCTCTCTGGATATGTCCCATCAATCCTAAACAGAACAAACTTCATAAACTTCCGTTGTACTCCTTCAATAGCTGTGCATTCATAGTAAGGGCTCCAAATAATACTACAATATTCGACTTTGGATCCAACATAAGCATAATATAATAGCTTAATAGACTTTATGTTATGGAAATTCCTGCAATTCCTTACTATGAAACCATAAGCCGCCAATGCTTCTGATGCTTTTTTATTTATATGCTGACTAAAAGTTAACTTTTGATCATAGATTATACCTAAATCTCGTACATCAGAGCATCTTTCTAGCACAGACCCATCAATAGAGTATGGATATTTGCAAACATTAATTTTCCTGATATAGCTGACTATTTTACACTTCCTCACATTAAGCTCCAACTTGTTTTCTACACACCAAGACAACACAAAATTTAATTGGAGATATATAATAGGGATAAGTACATTTTCCATGCTTACGTAACCTGTCCTTCTTTTTCAGATACTGACAACCAACGGGTGATTATACACGTTCGCGATGTGAACGATGAGCCTCCGTACTTCATCAACCGTCCTCTGCCGATGCAGGCAGTCGTGCAGCTTAATGCACCACCAAACACACCTGTCTTCACTCTCCAGGCTCGAGATCCTGACACGGATCACAACATTCACTACTTTATCGTCCGAGACCGAACGGGAGGACGATTTGAGGTAGGTCCTTGCTAGACGAAAATATAATTCTAATAGACAGTTTAAGCTATTGCTCTCATCGTAAGAGTTCAATAAAAAATATAGGTAAGTGGACGTAAGTGAAAGTACTGGTGAAGCAGCGGAGTACAGGACAAGGATTTGCCGGTGAATCGAGAAGATCGCATCTCACTATTGACTAACATATTCAGCCAGAAGCTTACGCGAAAACGGGCTTTTGCATTGTGGCGCCTCAAACCAACCTATCTGAGTGTTCCTGTAATATAAAGAGTTTCATTTTAAAATGGGCCCGACCTGTAAATGAGTTTGAAGGTATCATTCAGTGTCAACTCCAAGGTCACCGTCAGATAACCAGGGAAACATCCTAATACTATGCTTCAGTCAGTCTAAAAGATATTCTGGAACAGATGTTTGACTTTCCACTGACTGTATGACGGCGACATTGAATTTGGCGCTGACTTCGATATTCAAAATTACGTCAAGGTCAAACCGTTTTTTTTTAATTGACACAGAAAATTGATAGAGCGGAATAATTTACGTTTGGACTTTTGATAGCCATGGTCAAGGCCTAATATCTGAAAGAATTCCATTTGAAAAAAATAGACCTGACTTTTCAATAACCTAGGTCAGGGGTAAAGGTCGGGGTCGCCTTCAAGGTCACCATCAGATACCAGTGAAAGATCCTAATACTGTGTTTGTATAGAAATTTTTTTAGAGAGGCTATTTTATCGATTAGATATTATTTGTCGATTACTATGACCATGACCTTCAAAGGTCAAATTCGTTACAGGTCAAGGACTCATCCAGACGTAAAATTTTCCATTTTCAAAAATATAGACATATTTAAAAAAATGGATTTTCAAAGTGCCTTTAATGTCAAGGTCAAGGTCAAATTCAAGGCTACCATGAGATAGGCATGGTAAAATCCTACACCTATTCATGCGCGGAATTTCCGTTGGACTTGTAATTTTCGAGATTATTTGTCGCATCACGATGTTTTGAACATATGTAAATATACTATACCTATACGTGTCGACCACTGTCATGTGGTATCAGCGTTGTAACTTCTCGCGTTGTTGTCCGTTTCCGTCGGTGAGAATTCATAAGAATACGAAACCTGAGGAATAATTGCTGGGGAGGTTGAGAGGTGTTCTTTCTTTGGGAGGTTGATGTCATGCTTAAGAATTTCTGAAAAGGAAAATTGAGGGTTTTTATCACTTTAAATGGAAGCACTGGGATCCTACTTGAAAAACATGGCTGTGTGCTCATTTAGCCAAAAAATGACCGACTTTCTGGTTTCGCTGTAAATACCCGTTATCTGGACCCTTGAGATATCTTTAGATCGAGTTGGTGTAATAAAAGCTTTTGATCAGCATCGCATAGAGAACACAACTTTAAGGTCTGGAGCAAATACATTTGAATCATTTTTCCATAAGAATGGTGCCTGGTTCTTCTATTAAAAAGGACAACATAGAATCGGGTCTCTTCTTGAAGAATACGTTAATCAACCTGCTAAGTGACTAGGTGCCATTGAAGTTTAGCTTATCTGTCAATTCGTCTTCAATAATATAAATTCATTGCTATAGACCTTTGTAACATAGGCAGTGAACTATTTGAATAGTAACACATAAACACCCACGATTTCCAACGTGCTTTCTTATCGCGAATTTTGAACATTGTGTGAAGTTGGAAGCTAAAATTGTAGAACTTAAGCTGAGAACTCATTGCTTTTTAACACTTTATTTTTTTATTTACATTTTTCTCTTTAGACTTGATTGGTATATATGTTTCCAAGCTATATATACTCAAATTTAAAGAAAAATGTGGGACCTGTGGCGGGCGCAACATCTCTTTGTGATCTGGTCAAATAAGCATTTTATGGCGTCGGACAAATTTACAACGATCTGAGCAGTTTATTAAATCGAACATTTATTTTGTTAGTAATCATTAAAAATTACCTTTTGTTAGGTGGATGAACGATCTGGAGTGGTCAGAACTAGAGGTACAGATCTCTTCCAATTAGACATGGAATATGTATTATACGTGAAGGCTGAAGACCAAAATGGAAGAGTAGATGACAAGAGATTCCAGAGTACTCCAGAGGAAAGGCTGTCGATTGTTGGTGGTAAAAGAGCACCGCAATTCTATATGCCCAGTTATGAAGCTGAGATTCCGGAAAATCAGAAAAAGGACTCAGAGTAAGTATTCTTTACTATGGATGCTTGCAGGAATTTAACGAACCGAGTCAAATCGCAAAATTATACGTTAGTAAATTCAACAAGTACAAGTATACACAGGGCTGTGACGGGCGAGCTGAAATTTTCCTGAGACGCGTACAGCCTAACGGGGATTTTTCACTATTTCTTTTCTCTGAAAGTATAGGGCTCTATCAATATTATGATTTCCAACAAGCTTCCGGCAATATTCCAACAGAAACTGGCGCCCTGGCCCGCAATATTCTGTCTTATACCAAATTAATTTTCGATGTGCGGTAGATTAAACAATATCAAACATGAGGGGCTAGGCTTATCCGATTCGGATAGATTACAAGGAGTTGAGCCCATATGTTTTCGTTGCATTGTTTGTCACCAAAATTATGTAGTTTCAGCGCATACTTTTGGCTATAATTTGCCTACCAAAGTAACAAACAGGCGTACACTATTTTCTCTGGAAAGAGTATTCGAGTAGCTAATCATACTTTAGGTGCAACACTATCTGGGTTGCCATATACTTGCTCAGTTACTGTTAATAAACAGGAACAAACCAAATAACGCAAATAAACGATAGTAAATATTTATTAACCGTACAGCATATAAACAATTCTGTTTAGTTCGTGATTTTGAAGTGTGAGCTATACAAAACATTCTCTCTGTCAAACTGCAATAATGGCTTAATATCTAATATTGGATACAGTGAGCTTCCTCGCATGAATTTCACTCGGCTTTTCTAAATAGTTGTGATCCGACCAGATTATTAGCTAAAAACAAATAACTAGTTGAGCATAGTATGAAAATTCCTGCTATTATAGCATTGTCACTATAGTTGTCGGAAATTTTTGTAAATATTTTATTTGAGCTTCATAGTTTTATTTTGCCTACTGAGGTTCCTCTATACAATTTCGTGGGACTAAAATGAGATCGTAAATTAATCCTTTGCACTCAAAATTAAAGTTGATAAAGTTAAACTTTAGTTTCGTTTAGTTGGATTAAAGTTTTCGGTTGCCCCTTTTTACTATCTCACAAAAATTTGGTTTGTCTCCGATACTTTGCATTTTTCAATGTTCTTGTTAGTATACAATTTTTTAAGTAATCTTGGATCGGGACTGAGTGTTTAGTAAAACGAAAATTGAAATAAAACAAACCAAAATTACCTCACAACTACCCAGGTAAAAGCCCAATGTTGAGACACATGCAATTTCGCAACGCCGACGACTATAATACAAATATATAAATATCACTTATCGATAAAACGATTTTCTTCTATTCAGTTTAAAATACTTTTTGCTGTCTACAGAAAGCTTCGCCTCTTTCAGTAATGATTTGGGCCCGGATAGCATTAAATATTGATTAAACATTTTTAAAAGAATGTTAAACATTTGTAGCGACAGATATTTTAATATTTAATAAATATATTTCTTATATATTCATAAAATATTCATTAGAGATATTTTTATATATTTTGCGATATTCTTTCTAAATATTTAGAAAATATATGAGGAAAGATTTTTAAATATCAAGCTTATATTTTGATGAAATATCTAATATTTTTCGTAAATATGTATAGATTTTCAAGCATTAATCCGATACATACTTTCAGTGTATATACAACCATTGGTTATTTCAGCAAAATCTGTAGTAATGCTTTAATAAAATTGGGTTTATAAAGAAAAATTGATTCTAGATATATTGATTTAATTTGCTAGAAAAATATCATCAAAAAAACATTCTAAGCTTTTTTTGCATCTTACAAATCCACTCATCTGAAAAAAAAACTTACAGTGGTGTTTTGTTTGAGAGAGATATCCTCCCAAGCTACTCTAGAAGGTGTATTTATGGGAATATAAATGCAGTGAAACAATATTGATGCTGAGCACTGCTCAGTTACTCCGAGTAGCTCAACTGGGTCATTGAGGAGCGTCCCTATGATGCACCTAAAAAAAAACCCACATTTTCTTCCTATGAGACTTCAAGGTTTGGTTAATTCTTAAGAAAATTTGGTATGTTATTACAGACATCTTGATCTCCATGAGCACAACTTGATCCCTTGACTAACTTTTAAAGAAAATGTTTTTAAAAATAGACCACTTATTGATTTTGTTGAAATGTGATAACAAATATTTAAGATAAAAATATTATTAAATATTGAATATTTAATGAATATTTCATGCTATCAGGGGGAATACTAGGATTGTACGGAACCCACGCACGCTTAAATGTTTTCGCAGACAAGTATGAATGTAACGTGAAATCTCAAAAACTGTGTAACTGGCGGCTTAAGACTGGCAGATTTGAATGAATATACATCCTGACTACCGACTATGTAATTTTTTGGACAAACAAATTGTAGGCTTGCTGTTTCTTCTACCGGCCAAAGCCGTATGCAATGCTGAAGCAAGCGATGACGGTATTCACGAACATCTGTCACACCACCGACTAACATTCCACCGCTTCATGAATACGTTACATGTAATATATCGCTCGAACGACCATATACGTTTGATTGACTTGTGCACATGCGTGTAGAAGATTCTACTGGTGAAGCTTGTTTTGACTGACTGCACGTTGAAAATAAATTTGATGTGGTACGGATAGCTCGTTGGCAATAAAAGCGCGTGAAAACTTTCGAGTTACACGCCCACCGAGGAAGAATGACGCAAAGAGAACTTTGTAGTTGCGTAAGTCGAACGCCACACGTCGCTTTGCTTCGCGTCTCTCGAGTGTTCCCTAGGGATTGGATTCTTTCCCACAATATTTCCATTACAAATCAACGACTTCCTTCTCTGTACGATGAATCCGATCCATAGCTTTGGTGATGACAGCAATTCACATGCCGGAATTCATTGTATCAAGCTGATCTCTGCCTGTGAGCTGGAGAGAAGAAGACTATCAGCGACTTCCTCTCTGACGAGAGATCCGTTTAATGCTGCCAAAACACCGTACTGTACCTTGACTAACAAGAAGCGCCTTAGCGATCATCCGGTTTCAATGGATGGCCAAATTCTATCAGAAAGCCTTTGTTCCGGTTGGTCGAGATCACTGAAGACTTAAAGCTAGGCTATTTATTTAGGGCTAAGAAGTACTTTTATCCACACAGTATCTTCATTCTACACAAGGCCAAGATAAGTCCAGGTCTCAAGCACTGATCTTGGGCGTGTTGCCGCCCCGACTACATTATTTCTGCTCGATGCTGTTGGGAGGAGGACTGTACGAGCGATCGATGACTGCTCTCTAGCGGACAGTCTCGAGACCTTTTCGCATCGTTGGGCCCTCAACGATCTGGCCCTCTTCTACCACTATGTCCACGGCCTTTCCTCCTTAGCGCCCGCCTTCTGTCCTAACCACGTCGAACTTCATACATCCTGAATTTGTCAGTACGACCGCTCCTCTGTCCCTAAGGTGTCTGAACAATTTCACTGAGGAGGTTTTTCCCAGTTCTACTAACCGTAGACAGTTCATTAATCGAGTTAACAAAGTCTCTTTAAGCTCATTATGGCAGCTGCGGTGCCCCGGTATTTAGGCTTCTGCCTACACGGCGGCTTCGGTATAACAAAAAGTTGCAAAATTTCCATTTTTGTAACTTGTAGTTGCGAGCAAACAAACCTGGTGCACTTGGGTAGTTTGGGACGCTGATTTCGAGTATCTCATTAAACATAATGGGTACAAGGGGAAATTGACGAATGTCACAAAACGTAAGCTTTGAGAAAAGTGAATTTAAAAGTTGTACAGGGTGGGTGAAGGATCTGACGGAGTACCATAGATTCCCTTTTATAAGAAATTAAAAAAAGTTAAGCTATAAATAAAAAAATATTTTCTAATATACAGGGTAGCCTCAACTGAAACCAGACCAAACATTTTTTAATATAAAACCCTTTTTATTTTTGTACTTTGAAATTCTCCTTATGATTTTAGACATTTTTTATGCGTTAGCGTCCATGCCACAATTCAACTTTTTTGAGTCATTGAAGATAGAAGTGAGCCTTTTGTCATATGCGACACCCTGTAGAATCTAAGTGTTGATTAACCGGCAAAATGCCTATCTTAGGTTCTACTATCTCTCCTAATATGAGAACTACCTTAACAGGAAATTTATTACACAGTTCCTTCAACATACGACATTTTTTAACCTCAATGGCTTAAACACAGAATTATTTCTAAGTATTTTTTTAATTGGGACAGGAAAAAAAACAATGAACCAAAAAATCTTCATTCAGAAGAATATAGAACAAACAAAACAAAATCAATGGTAACTGCTTAAAAATGATTACTTGACGTTTATTTTTTTCGTCGCAGATTGGTGTATGGTAAATTGCTTCAGTGAAGATCAGTGCACGTTCATCTTTTTTCAATTGGGGATAACGACGAACTGCCATTGTTTCTGCGTGTTTCCGATACCTCATGGGATTGTTTTGCGTTAAGACTACATGTTGCCTACAAAACACCAAATTTGTAATATTCATAATTTTTCCCCTGTTTTGGAACTTCTTCGATATATGGCAGCAAAAGTGACGAGACATGAAGACCGAACGAACTACATACTTTGTTGATGTATTATCATTTCTCTTACCTCTGGTACTGTAGCTTTCCCTTCTCCCCCTTCTTCTCCAATGGTCCCGCTTATTCGCAGCGCGACAAGTTTAATGCCAGAAGTTGGTAATTAGCTGCCAGGATCAGAGGCACCCGGTGTTGGGAAAACTTGTATATTAATAAATATTGCGGTTTATGCTCAGAGCTTAATCGATCTGTTAGAATGGGCCCCTCGGCTCTTGGTCTAGTTCACAGAAGCTCTGCAAGCTAACAATACTGGTACTCAGCAAAAGCATAAAAAAACTATCAATGTACAGTATGTTAACCTGACTACGTGTAACTGAATGTTCCGGAAACTAAAGAAGCCCTGCGAGATGGAAATATAAAAATGTAATTTCGTAAACGTATGCTGGTTGTGACCATTTTTTCCAGTAATTGATAAATCATTCTAAATCTCAAACGTTCGTCTGTTTTCCTATACGATGATCAATCTGGCGAATGAATTTTTGTGGAAGTTGTAGAAGCTTTTGTATGCCATTGTCATTTATTTTTGTATTTCCAACATGTATTGAAGGTGTCATTGCTTCCCATCCCAACAAGTGGTACTCAGTCCCCAGTTTCCTGTTTCATAGCCGAACTGAATCCAAACTTCCTTATCGTTTGTACTACCTGTTGCAGGACTAGGTCGCAAGGTAGTAGACGATACAGAGAAAGGAAGCAATCTAACAAGTAGTCTCTTAAAAGGAGTGAGCACTTGTTGAAATAATATATTTATTATGAATATAATTATACATATTATGTCTCCAAGGCAACGTACGATTTATGATATGATACTTAATGAATAGTGGAGTTACTGAAAGCGTATATTAAATTAATGTATTGAAAATAATTACTTGTAAATATCACCCTCGGTACTGATTCTCATTATTTATTATAAAGCGTATCATCTTGGGCTACTGGTGAAGCAGTTGTAGATCTAAACTATAAGCTTTAACAGATTTAAATTATCACAGAGATATTAATGGACAAACATTATCAGAGAACTAGATTATACTATAGATAGATAATTCCATACCCACCCTATATATCGAACTTGCATCCAGTGACTACAACCGGATCCCTATTTTGAAATAATATTTGACGAAGCAATTCAGTTTTGTCCACGTAGTGAAATATGAGATTCAATGCGTCCTCAAGAAACTGGCGGCATGCCGGAATGATGAACCTGACAGACAAAAACTGTCTCATTGTCTACAAAATACTTAGGCTTCATAACGCTGTCACCTTTAGGAAACAAATATTAGGAACGCTTACTATTGGAATTACTTAATGCAATAAATGACTTCACCGGCTTTTCAGCTACCGCGTTAGTGTTTCTCACAGTACTTAACTACCTTAATATTGCAACCTAGTGAAAAAAAATCATATGACCCCATTTATATGAGCTAAGGTGATAATCAATTTGGAGCCACTTGACCAATGTCTCAGAAGTGTGGAGCTCTTTTGTCATTACTATTGAAGTATCATGACTTCGTAAGGGTCACTAGGCGACATAAATACTAAAAACAAAAAATACTGTGGGGCACTTTTTGCTTGCTCTGCACTTTTGTTTCAATTATGGCAACGGACAAAATGATGGAAACAATCGAAAAATCGTAAGTTGTCGGGCTCTTCTGGAATGATATTATAGAATTGTTGATATTTCCTCTAAAATCTTGTTTATTATTATTATATTATATTATTTGAAATTGAGACGTAAGTGAGCCTAAAGTCCTACTACCACACATATGTCCACTACATGTATTTCTAGCATAATCTCTGAGGGAGCGAAATCCATCTCCGACAGAGAAATCTGCTACACAGTGACTACAACCTGATCCCTATTTTGGAAGCATATTTGACAAAAGGATTCAGTTTTGGCCACGAAATGAAGTATGAGATGCAATGTTTCCTCAAAAAACTAGCGGCGAAGTGACATAACACAAAAAAAAACTGTCATAGTGTCTACAGAATGCTTAGGCCTTATAAAGCTGTGTCACCTTTCGGAAACAGATATTAACGCTTACTGTTGGAATTACCTAATGCAATAAATGACTTCACCAGCTTTTAGCTACCGCGTTAGTCTTTCTTACAGTACAGATTAAAAAAGATAACTAAAAAATGAAACTAGGTACTCCAATATTGGAACCTAATAAAAAATATCACTTGAACCGTTAATATCCCATTTATAAAGGAGCCAAGCAACATTAGTTATATGATAATCAATTTGTAGCCACTTGATCAATTTCTCAAAAGAGTGGGGATCCTGTGTCATTACTATTGAACTGTCATGACTTCATATGGATCAGCAGGCGACGTAAATACTAAAAACAGTATAAGGCTGTCTGTATCGCGGTATAGTAATAACCTAATATTGCAATACTGTAGGGCATTTCTTGCTGGCTCGTGTACGTTAGTTTCAGTTATGAGAGAAAAAAATGATGAAAACCATCGAAAGATTGTCGGGCTCTTCTGGAATGATAGCATAGAATTGTAGATTATTTTTGTAAAATCTTGTTATTTGTTCTCTGGACAAATATGATTTGAAAAATGCGACACAAGTAAACCTATATTCCTACAACCACACAGATGTCCAATACGTCTATTGAACGGTATTTTTTTCTAGCATAATCTCGGTGAAAGCAAAATCCTTCGCCGATAGAGAAATCCGCTACACACTGAAAGCTCAAGGGCAAGGTGCTGGCACATTCAATATTGGACCCACATCTGGTATAGTGAAACTGGCCAAAGAATTGGACTTCGAAGATCTGAGGCAGCCACATGTCTATTCTTTGGTTGTAACTGCAACAGAAGATTCCGGTGGATTTTCCACTTCTGTTGAGGTAAGATCGTTACTATGTAGGAAACAAGCTAGTCGTTATTAGTCAAGGACAAAAACAAACATATTTTCAAGATATTTTCCGATTACATCTAGTTATTGATTATGAAGCATCCACCTTGCTTTGATGCTGTTGAATTTCAATCCTAATTGTCTGATCTTTTAAAGTTAACCATCCGTGTGACCGACGTGAACGACAACGCTCCCAAGTTCGAGCTTCCTGACTACCAAGCACACAACGTCGATGAAGACATACCACCTGGAACCAGCATCTTGAAGGTTAAGGCGATGGATGCCGATAGTGGTACCAATGCCGAAATAGAGTACTTTGTGTCAGATGATCACTTTAGCGTGGACCCCAGCGGGATTATATCCAATAATAAACAGTTGGATGCCGATAATAACAATGCTAACTATGAGTTCAGTGTTACTGCTAAGGATAAGGGAGAACCATCGAAAACTGGAACAGCGACGGTAAGTAGAAATCCTTAATTGGACATAACAGGCTTTTAAAATTTTAGTAGGACTTTATTACAAATAAATTGCTGATGCACGATGTGTTTCGCCATTGGCTACTAGATTGAGTAAGGACTATCCACTGGTAGTATGTTACTAGCGAGGTGGGCCACTCTTCCTGATCTAGGACATCAACACTATAGCTAACAACCCAACTAGCATGCATACTTGATGTTAAGCTTACCAGATCTTTGGAAGAAGGTCAGAACGATTTGCTTAATACATCTCTTCTCTAGCAAACTTCGTCATGCGTAATACGAGATCAGCTCTATGGTCTTCATATAGGACAAACCTACTTCGGAAGTGGAATGGTGTTTCATCCTTTTCCAGGCATCTAAGTAGATAGTATTTTTTTCTATACCCATACGGGCCAAATGTTCATTTGATTTGAAGTGCCCTGTAAAAAATACAACTATAAGATCGAGAGACTATCTGTTTGTCCAATAGTCATAGTGTTGGGCTCCCCATGGACTTATTGATTTAATTTTGCATAACCATGCTTCTGCCACTTCTCTGTTTGCCCATTTGTCTAGTGCAGTATTAACCTGATATCTGATATTTCTCAGCTTCCATCCGAAGTCAGTGTAGGAGCCCCTCGCCCTTAGTTTCACCAGATTACCTACTTTTCCGTTAAATGGTAGACCTCTGAGACCAGATATCCTCAATAAGTTATACGTTAGAGTTACTCTGTAATTCTGTTTGCTTTGTCAATTTGGATGATAAATTGTTATTTCGTAGGTGAGAGTCTACACAAAGAACAAAAATGACGAAGAACCCAAGTTTTCGCAGCAAGTATACACCCCAAACGTGGACGAAAACGCTGGTCCAAATACTCTAGTAACTACTGTCGTATCCTCAGATAAAGATGGTGACAATGTGAGGTTTGGTTTTGTTGGAGGAGGCACCACTGCTGGACAATTCGTTATTGAGGAGATTACTGGTAAGTAAAAACAATAACATACCTGTATATACAAAGTGAACAGGGCAAGCCAAATAGCCTTAGACACAGCTATACCTTGAACAAACTGTTAGACTGCTATAACACATTCAAGATATGTGCAAAGACCATTACAGTGGACCAATGACTTTTTTATACAGAAGTAGAAGCCTAAATACCACCCAGATAGCATTAAATATTTATTACTTATTTAAAAAAATTTTGTTTAAATATTTGTAGCGACAGACTTTTTCTTATTTAATAAATATATTCCTTATATATTCATAACATATTCATAACATATTCATCACATTCAGTATGTGAGGAAAGATTTTTAAATATCAATTTTATATTGATGAAATATCTAATATTTTTCGTTAATATGTATTTAGGAAATATATGAAGCAACAGAGTTTCAAGCATTAACCTGATACTTATCTTCAGTGTATATAAAAAGTTCTTCATTGGTTATTTTAGCAAAATCTGTGGGAATGCTTTTATAAGATTGGGTTCATAAAGAAAATTCATTCTAGGCATAATGGGTTAATTTGCTAGAAAAATATCATTAAAAAACATTCTAAGCCTCTTTTGCATCTTGCAAATCCACTCCTCTGAAAAAAAACTTATTAATTATGAATTATGGAATACATAAGCTGCTTTCCAGTTGTCTTTTGTTTGAGAGAGATATTCGCCCGAACCACTCTAGAAAGTGGTTACGGTTGAGTTACTCCGAGTAGCTCAACTAGGTCACTGAAAAGCAGCTCTATAATACACCTAAAATGACCCCACATTTTCTTCCTAAGTGAGTTACGGCCAATTAGAAAATTTTAACTGGCTGATTAGAGATTATGAAATCCATTCAATCGTTAAAATCTCGATTAAATTTAACTGGAGAATTAATTTTGATTATGAAACCGGCCCTTAGAGATACCACTTATTGTTTTTGTGGAAATGTGACTTTTTTGCAGTAGTAATGGGGATAATTTAGCCATGACTATTTTTTTACTGTTATAATTTTGCAATGTCGCTGCTGAATTTAAAAATTTTAAAATAGTTGTAGCTGATTTGTCCTCTACTACGACAAAAATAATAATAATAATTGAGGTATTTAAAAAAAGCATTTTTGATGTATCTCGATCAAGTTGTGATTATGTGACTTTTCATTGGCATGCTATGAATATAATTTTAGTACCCATTTTCAGATAAATCCAGTAATCTCAAATTGCATATAATTGTTATACTTCAAGGCTAGTTATTTATGCTCGTGTAAATACCTTTATACTCAATTTTCACAATAATGTTTACTAGACAGATAAATTAAGTACAGTAAATATTGCAAAACTTACCCTTTTCCACAAAAAACAGTCAAATAATGTACCACTTGGACGTACACAGGAAGCACGCTATCATAGTGAAACTCACGGCAAAATGGATGCCGGCAAACGGGTCGGCTCAGGTCGGCTTGCCATTATGCCATTGATCGCTCGGGGTCACACGCACATGCGCTTGTGAGGAAGTTATGCGGGAAATATTACTTCTGAGCCCCAACCAAATAGCCTAGTCTAGTCCAGCTTTTTCCCGCGATTGATGAGTTGTGTTCTTGTCAGGTGCTTGATGATCTGGAGATCAACGGCTCTTTCTGTACCAAATTGTTGCGTCCTCCAGCACTGGTAGCCTCCAAGTCTCTCCTTAGAGAGAAAGTCTCTGCTAGCCTTCTTTCCTCCAGCTCACCGGCAGAACTGAATTTCTGCATATAGAGTGCTGTCATCAGCAAAGCTGAGAATCGGATTGATCGTACAGGAACAAAGGTCTTGTGTTTTTGAGAGGAACTATGTTGGTGCGAAGGGCGATCCCAGGATCGTGTTGACATTATGGTCAAAAAGGAAGAGAGCCACTCAACTGCAAAGCTTCTATGTAAGGCCACGGGATGGAAGCCTGCATAAGAGGGCAGCATGTCACTGATGATCGAACGCTCTTGCGATATAAAGAGCAACGAGATGAGCCTTACCATAAGACTGGATGAGTTCACTCCACAGTTGGGTGTCGGAAGCTAGGAGGCCCTCTATGGATCGCGGGAGCCGGATACCATATTGCCTCTCGCTAACCAAGCCGTGATATTCAAGATACTCCAGAAGCGTATGCACCTCCCACAGAAATCAGTGCTATAAGTTTGAAGTTGTAAGGGTCAGTTTCAGATCCCCTTTTGGGATGTTCTGGAAATATCCAGTTTTCTGAGCGCAACTAAGAAATGGTTTGCCACTTCGTCTTTCTGTATTTCTTTTTTAGTCTTAACATGTCTATATTACTATGAATCTTCCAGGTGTCATTCGACTTCACAATAAGCCCATATCGCTAGATAGAGATAAGTATGAGCTAAACGTGACCGCGATGGATGATGGATCTTGCTGCGTCAACGGCGATACTACAATACACACCAGTACCGCCGTTGTGGTAGTGTTTATCACAGATGTTAACGATAACAAACCCATCTTCAAAGATTGTGGAACGTATTACCCAAAGGTAAGTGCCTTCCATCCTCAGATAGTCTAAAGCATACTTAAGATAACGTACATTGTCAAAGCATCTAGAAAATTCAGTTTCAGACAAACTGCAAGTGAGCACAGATGCCTCAGGGTTCAGTACTGGGCCGTATACACTTTTAACTTTAATTTAATAACACTTGACATAAATGCTGAAGAAATCGGTCTAGAAGTATTTTATTACTATGAATAATTTTATATTCAGACTCTTGAACTCTTTGTAATACTAATGAAGTTTGATGTCAAGTTTTTATTGGTCAGCCATATTATAGTGTATTCTTAAAAAGATAAATATCTGCTCCAACCTTCTTTTGGTGTTATTTAGGTTGAAGAAGGTGCTCCAAACGGCTCCCCAGTGATCAAAGTCCACGCAACAGATGAAGACAAGGGCGTAAATGGTCAAGTGAAGTACTCAATCGTCCAGCAACCCAACCAGAAGGGCACAAAGTTTACAGTCGACGAGGAAACTGGTGAAGTCTCAACCAACAAAGTGTTTGACAGAGAAGGAGATGACGGCAAGTTCGTGTCGGTCACAGTGAAAGCCACAGATCAGGGAGAACCGTCATTGGAGGGAGTCTGTTCGTTTACAGTGGAGATTACGGATGTTAATGATAATCCACCCTTGTTCGACAGACAGGTAAGTTAGCAATCATGCAGATTCCTACAAATGTTGATGAAAATTCAAACAGTTGTACATTACATACCTTACGTCAGTGAGCTTTTAACTCTGCTTAAGTCATTTTAGGCCGACTTTAATATTTCAATGTCATTTGATGGAGATAGTTCACGCGCATTTATTTGACTATTACAACAGCTATTACACTTCACTGACGCTTGGTTGGAATGAACATCTTCTTGATCACCTCCTATTTCATGTACAGGGTGGTCAATATATAACTGACTGATTTGAATTGCGCGCCATTTTTGATACACGCATTTCAGTAGGTGGCTCCGTAGTAGTCGTTTGTAGCACATGTGTTCAATTCATCATGGAGCGCTACACGATCCCATAACGCGCCCGTATTGTGAGAACGTTTTATTTAAATAATCAGCTGATTGTCGCAACGATTCGGAAGCTACGACAAAATTTCGGTCGAAATAATGTGCCCATTGTCAACACCATCCGTCAGTTGGTGCGGAAATTTGAACAAACAGGTGAAGTTAAAGACGTGCCAAGGTCGGGCCCTGTTGGAACTGTTCGTACTCTGGAAATTATCGAGAGAGTTCGTGAAAGTGTAGTGGAGCGCCCTGAGACGTCTACCAAACATCGTTCTCAAGAACTGGGTATTCGTCACACGTCATTATGCACTATTTAAAAAAATAGAATTGCATTTGCGGCCATACAAAAATTCAGTTAACCCAAGAACTGCAGCCTAGTGACCATGAAAGTCGCGGACAATACAGACAAGCAGTACTGCAGCTTAATACCCAAAATAACGATTTTTACCGACAACTGATAATGAGCGATGAAACCCACTTCGATAAGAATGGATTTGTTAATAAGCAGAATTGTCATATCTGGGCATTAGAGAACCCTCCTGCCGTCCATCAACGACCACCACATCCTTGTCGAGTCATAGTTTGGTATGGAGGTGTCATTGGATCTTCCTTCTTTGAAGACGCTGCAGGTAATCCTCTTACTGTCACTGGCGAGCTCTACCGTGATATGATGCAAAACTTTCTGGCTCCTCAAATCCAACAATTTAACCTGCAAAACACGTGGTTCCAGCAGGACGGAGCAACTTGTCGCACAGCTAGAAAAACCATGCATCTTTTGCGAACAATATTTCCGGGACGTTTAATTTCGCGGTTTGGTGATATCAACTGGCCACCAAGGTCACCGGATTTAACGGCTCCTGACTTGTTTATGGGGATTTTTGAAAAATAGGGTTTATACCAACAAACCAATTACTGTAGAGCAGCTGAAGAATAATTTTACGGAACCGACTGAAAATACTCCCCCCAAAACCTACCAAAAAGTGATAGAGAATGTAATCTAGAGGGCTCAGGCTTGCGCGGCTTCTAGCGGCGGACAAGTTTCAATAAAAGATTAAGATGAAAAAAATGGACATATTTTATTTCATTTCACAAATATTCAAGATACAAATCAGTCAGTGATATATCGGCCAGCCTGTATATATTATTATTCCTCAATTTTGTAACACAAATCGAAAATATTATCGCCCTATTTATTATTAACAACCTCTCCGTATTAAAGAAATACGTGGAAAACGTGAAACAAGACGCCAGCATAGGCACAAACATCCTGCGTGTTTCCGCTTCTGATGAAGACGCTGACAATAACGGCGCCATCGTGTACACCCTCAATTCTGGCTCTAACCCTGCTGATCTCGATTATTTCGAGATACAACCTGAGTCTGGATGGATCGTGCTGAGAAAACCCCTGGACGTAAGTATTTTGTCAACTATGACATCTGCGGGAAGTTTTACATGGAAGATTTTGACATTTTTCAACTGGAGGTGACGTTGAAACCAAAGTGCAACAACTGTGGTGGATCGAAAGTATTGGTTCGGTGTGAAAAGTTTCACTTTCATACCCATTTGATTCGCCTATGATTCCATCGTAACTGCTCGAATCTGTTCCGCGCTTTATCCAAAAATACCGTCATGCTGCATAAAACGATTATCTCCGGTGAGTTCGAGTAAAAACATATGCAATCTGCGTACAGAGATTTCAAGTTGCAACCTGGCAACACAGCAGTTCGATATTGCACTGATTTGTGAAAGTTACACGAACTTTCGATTTTTCATGTTTATACATCAGTCTTTTAATGACAACTTTCAATTTACTGGATATTCTAATTAGCCACTTTGTGATTCAAAGTAATGGTTTATTTGTTTTTTGAAATAGTAAAATAATAAATGATCTAATAAACTGCAATTCATTTTCCAATGTCACCTCTAGTTTCTATAGTTCTTAAGATATAACTAACTTAGTATGAAAGTGAGCTGAGTGTAGACTTCTAAGAGGTGCTTGAATGGTATCAAAATTTGATAGGGCTCATGGAGGATGGAATGCTTAGGCGAATTTTTGAAAAGTTGAAACTCCTATAGATTTAGACGAACTCTTTTATAATTTTTCTTTTGCTACCTCCTGTCTTCTCTACTCAGACATCGCCATTTTTGAACAATGACACACCAAACAGGTTTTTCTGTAATATCTCCGTTCAGATTCTTTTGACGTCTTAAACTGTAGACATTTTCCTATGATTTATATATTAATTATTTTGTGAGATGAATAATTTCGTTTAAAAGTTCGACAACGTTGCTTAATTCGTAGGTTGGTCTCGAAAATTTGGGAAAACGTTTGACTTATGGACCCATCTTTCTTTTAATCAATGCGTGTGGGGGCTATGTCAAAGTAAATACAGTAGCGGACAAAAGTTTGGAAATATTCTTAGTAATTTTTAAAAAGTGCGCCAATTTTTTATTCTTTATTAAGGACTTTTTTTCCTCATGTGGTTTGCTTACAGTCTTGAGGTTACAAATGACAATTTGTGTTTGCTGGGGTACTACATACTAGCACTAAAATACCTTCATATTATCTTATGACCAAAAATGAGACGACAAAAATATGGAAACATACTTTTTATTACAAAATTAAGTAGAATAATTCTACAAAAATGTTCAAGAAATACTGTTAAGCTAATATTTGTTAGCATAACCTGTCATCTGCTAGTCATAGAAGATACCATTTTTTTTACAGTCGTCTGCTGGGATATTTTGCTATTTTTTTTAAATAATCAAATAAATTGTTCCAATTTTAAAAAGTTTTTCTTGTCAGTTGTCTTTTAAGATGTTCCCAGAGATGTTCTATAAGGTTTAGGTCCGGGGACTACGAAGGCCATGTAAGAACATTAATATTTTTTTGTCTTAACCAGTCCTTTACGAATTTTGAGGTATGCTTGAGGTCATTATCTGGCTGGAGTGTCCATCGTATCGGCATTTCTTCTTCAGCAAAAGGGAGAATGTGTTCACTAAGAATATCTCTGTAAGGTTTTTGATCAATTTTTCCAACAATTTTAACAATTGGACCCGTTCCAGAAGTGGAAAAGCAGCCATAAACCATGATGTTGCCTCCACCGTGCTTAACTGTTGGCAACTGATACTTTTTGTCGAAGCCTTTTCATATTGGATGTCTCATATATGCCGTACCGTCAGATTTTTTTTAAATGAGAGGCTTTTGCACTGGACGCCTACCAAAAAGCCCAAAGTCCACCAAACGCCCCTGCACTGTTCTGATAGAAAGATTCTCGGCACCCTCTTCTAAGATTCTTTTGAAAATCTGTGTGGCTGGCATTCGAGGATCTTCATGGGACAAACGTTTAATCTAGCGATCCAAAACATAATCGGTTTTTTTTCGGTCTTCCGCACCTGGACCGGGTTGCTGTTGATCCTTATTTCTGATATTTACTAATAATTTTCGAAATTTTCCTTTTGTTAATTTTTAATCTTTGTGAAATGTCAACATTTCTGACACAACTTCTAAATAATTCAATTACTTTGTCTCTTAAATTTTTCGAAAATGCCATTCTTACTGATTTTAATATTTACCGAACGCAATATCAGATTATCGCAGAATGAATAAATACCGCGAAACTGAAACGTTTCCATACTTTTGTCGTTAGAAAAACTGTGGTATATTTAAAAAACGTGTGTTTTTATTTTCAGAGAATTTGAACATTGATAAGATAAACCTTGTATTAGTACGGGAGGCAATGGTAGACTTTATTATTTATATCTGTTCCTTCACAATTGTAATTTAGGTATATGAAATAGTTCATAATAATGTTAATATTTGTTTCTAAACTTTTGTCTGCTACTGTAGATGAATTGATATTTCAAGATTGCCCAAAATATTCCGGGTAAGACTACAAGGTCATTGAGCTAATTAACCATTTTCCGTATTAGATTAAGCTGTACCTCTCTCGCATATTGACACTGTTAGTCATTCAAGAAAATAATCAGCAGTTGAAATGTAGGAATTTTTCTTTGGCATAATTTATCATATAGCAAATTTTGGGTAAAATGAGTCAGAAAGAAGATATTATAACAAACCGTATTTGGGATACATTTTTCCAATATAGCGCCTACAGCAGCAAAGATGCGTGATATTAAAGTGAACATTCTGAAATCGAAAGCTTCAAATGACTTTATGAGTGTCAACACTCAGTCAAATGAGCATCGCAATTTATCAGAGTTCAAATAATAGGTACCTCATTGAACTCTTCATTCAGTGGTGTGTGGGTGTGTATGTTGACATTTCAGGGCAGCCAATTAGAAAAGAAGAGATAAGAAAAAGAACAAGCCAAAACGAGTCGACTACGGCCATAGGTACGACTGGACAAAACAAAATAGCTGCTTCTTTCTCATCAGTTTTCAGCGCACCTTACTTTCAGTTGCTATCCGATCGAATTGTTGTTGATACCATGGCAACGTCTATTTTTATATCAATAAGTGCTTGTACCTTTGAATTCTAAACAAAAACTTGTGCAAGCTCAAGTCTAATTTATAGGCGCTATCCAACTTTACTACTCGACAATTTTTTTTATTTCTTTGGATGAAGTCACTAACCATCCTTTCCTCTTGAATGCTAACATAAGTAACAAAAGGCGTGTTGAATAGGAAGTGCAAAAAATTGGTTTTGTTCCCACATGATTTATGTCTATATTTGTCTTTGAACAGTACTGAGTCTCCAAGGCCAGTCATGCTAATTAATACAACCACACTTATCAGAAAAGGAAAAAAGTGATGTAAAAGTAACCGTAAAGCATTGAAGTTTACAAGCACTTATTTCCCATTTACCCTCAAAATACTATGCCATCAAAAAGTTAACGGATACAATTACTAAGCTGTTTGAACGTGTAATTGAATTATATTTTTCACTCAGCTCCTTTTCGAGGGAAGAATAAGGTATACAGAAAAGCTCCTTACTTCAAATGCTAGGTAGTGTTTTTGAATCTTCCTGTTTTTCCGAGTAATTTCCGTTGTCTGAATGATAAATTGGAGCTGTTTGGGTCTTTGTATTTTTTTTTCAATCCTGGCAATAATAGCACAACGATCGCTCTTAAAAGCCACTGTATTTTGACAATTGTTCTTGGTTCACATTATGGAGTGGTATTTCTACGGATAGAATAATTCATATAAGTCTCAATGATTTGATCTCTCATGTAAAGATACCTTATTCATCTTGAAATTTACAATGACGTGGTCCGAAATAAAAAGTTACGATGGATGAAGGTGCGTATAATTCCTATAATATATGCTTTCCGCTTCTGTTATCAACCGGTATATGATAACGTGGGCGTCGGACCCTTTTATGAAACTTAAAGGGATACGACCGTACATCATAATTATATGTACGTTGTTATAGTTTCTTTTTATGGTCGACCGAAAATTAACTGTCTTGATAAAATAAATTATTACAACGTTTTTCTTATTTAGACTAATAGTTTTATAGCAGTTCTTAAAAATATCCAATTCCATTTTTATAACAAAACACTTCTCTCACTCTAATAATTTTAAGGTAGAAAATCATACTTTACTCTCCATCTCGTTAAAGATCATTTTTTATAATTTTTGTCGACCGTAAATACGCGAGCTGAAGGTGACTTGGGGCTATTTCCGGTGCTCTCGATGGTTGAGTGTAGGTATGTCTACGGCTAAATCCCCAAGAGGGTGAGAAAGCGGGCTCCGACAACAAAGTCACTAATGGAGGCCGATTTCTATTAAACTCTCCCCGACCCGATAAATCGCAGCCTCGCGTGTGAATCGCTTTTACAAAATCGGGTAGTGGGCCGCTGAATTCCTACACCAGAGCACCGGAAATAGCCTTAAGTTACCTTCAGGTCTGGTATTTACGGTCGACAGAAATTATAAAAAATGACATTTAACGAGTATGATAATAATAAAAACGTTGTAATAATTTACTTTATCAAGACGCAGTTAACTTTTAGTCGGCCATAAAAAGAAACTGTAACAACGTAGGTAAGGACATTTTCAGAACAGTACATGTCTATTTTTGGCACCACCGCTTACTCAATTTCACAAGTATCTTGTAGATTTCAACACGAAGAACGTAAGTGTGAATGTGTCTAAGGTTCTTGCACGAGTAGTTTCCGAAATATAGGCTTTTAGGTTGTTACATTATTACAGCGTGTTGTTGGTTAGGCACAGGATAATTATTCCTTGATATTTATTTACGCTATCAGTACCGCAATTCTATCACATGTACAGATCGGTCCAATTTTACATGGATGGATTGCTCTGAAAAACAAACTTCTTGGATTATCTTTCATGTAAGTGCATTCACATATTTTACCAAATCCTACAATTTCTAACATGTTCTTAGATACCTAGTCATGTGTGTTTATATGACGTAATTGGGGGCATCCGTATGAAAAAAGAAACAGCGCAGTAGTGAACAGCTTTTGAAAACGCTTGTGTCTCCATCCATGGAAGTTTGAGCCACCCTGTAGATATGCTAGAAGGGATGATGACAAGCACTTAGATAGA